GATTGGTAGTGGGATCTAGAAATCTCATCTGGTTCCGATATATTAAAATTTATTGGGTAACAAAGGGTAGGCTATATATGAACACCTTGAAGAAGTCAGAAAGTGATGCTGTGAGCCAAATTAGAAAGTCTGATTCATTATCTACATTGATATTTACCTTTAGTTTTTTCAAAATCATCACTGTATCAATGGCCTTTTATAATATTGCTCTTGCGTATATTGAATTTAAGATTTCCAGATAAAAACAGTATGCATTATTTCTTACTACATGTCTAGTCTTAATTAATACCAGAGCCTTTACTCAGAAATTAATAAAATTTTAAAAATCCTTTTCACAGTTGGAAATAGAAATGGGATGGAAATCATATCATTGTTAATCATGCTTAAAGGGAAATACTTGCATATTTAAATTGCTCTGCTCTTTCCATAGCATAGACATATCATTTAATATTTTAAAATCAAATATTATATTATATCATAAAATGTGCTTTCAAATGCTGACCAGCCTTTAGAAATTGTAGCCAAGTCATTTGTGTGCTTAACTGCCACCAAATCCTTTTATAAATGAATCCTTACACATGAGAAGTATTGAAAAACTCTATTTCTGTATAGGTACCTCCACTTAAAATAGTACTAATCAGGATCCCAGGGACCTTATCTGTGGCAAAGTGGTGAAGGAAGGGAAAGTGAAATAATGAATAAGTAAATGACGCTACAGGTGACTATGTCTGGAGCACCCAAGGAATTCCAGGTCCCCCCACAGATGTCACTGCATAAGGAAAGCATGGAATTTAGATATAGATGTAGCTAGCTATACATCCATCTCCTTCAGAAAGACCAATTAGAAGCATATCAGTAGCTAATATCTGTGCTTCTGTTAGAGGTTATCTGTGATGGTCTGAGTAGAGTCACAGAATTATAGAACTGGAAAAGACTAGAAATCATGTAACTCAAGCACTGTTTTTAACACAGAAATATATCTCCAAAGAATTTAACTTACTCCAAGTAGGTTTCGCGACTTGTGGTTTGTTGATTAGTGTCTGGTGTGGTGGAACCAGTTGTAAGGCCTTTTGGTGATCTTGGGTTTAAATCCTAATCATCACTTCTTATAATTCTGACATAAATTTAAGTGATTTAAACTTTGTGAGCCTCAGTTTCCTCTTAATGAAAAAGTAATAATCGTATCTACTTCACTGCTTTTTGGAAGGTTAAAGAAGATAATGAATGGGGGGAAACCTTCCATTTTGACTGGAACATAGTAAGTCTTCAGGAAAGGGTAGTTCCCTCTTCTCTTTTACCCAATCATCTCAGGCCTTTTCCCATGGGAGATGTCACATTGACCTTTCTGAGAGCTGCACCTTCGCCAATAATCATGAGCTAAGCACTACACTGGTATTAGCTCTCAAAGTTTTAACAAAAATCAAATTCAGGGGCCAGCCCGGTGGCGCACTGGATAGTGCACCGCTTGGGAAGCACGGCGGCGCTCCCGCCCGAGGGTTTGGATCCCACATACAGACCGGTTCCCGCTCACTGGCTGAGCGAGGCGCGGGAGCAGCACCGAGGGTTGCGATCCCGTTGCCGGTCCCGGTCCGGTACGGGGGCGACACTGAGGGTTGCGATCCGTTGCCGGACACGGAAAAAGACAAAAAAAAAAAATCAAATTCAGCTGAAAAGACTATTTCTAGTCATCCCAAGGTCAGCCTCCATAGCAGCCAACTGAGACCAATGTCCCAAGAACCAGCCTTACTTCATTTCTGCTTAGACAGCCTGTCAAGATACAATAACGCACCCACCCAAGACTACATAACACAGAAGGAAGTCTGGCTTATATGGAATAAAAAGACACAGTCCCCCCCTATTCTCCATTCTTCCCCTCCTTTCATTTCCTTCACCTGTCCTTTCTGTACTCTAACTCTCCCTTCCCTCCTGTATCCTTCCCTTTCTGCCCTCATATAGATCAAATTTTGGACATGGATATCAGCTCTCATTTATTCTTTACGTCATTGTACCTCATTTGCATCCAATTCAATTAATAGAGTTATCCAGAGCTTTGTCTTTTTTTTTAGTCCCTATTTTTTCTGGAACTATCTGGTATACTCACACTTTCCTGTATCCACCCTCCCCCATTCACATGGCTAAAAAGAAATATGGAGCTATACTTTATGAATAAATGGATACTGCATATAAAAAAAAGAACTTTTGTATACATCTTTCCAGGGATACAGAGCTATACTTTACAGGCAGAAATGTAGTTAACAGAAGAAGCATAACACACGTATATATCAATGCTCCTTTCTAGTTTTAAAAAAAATGAGGGTCATGGGTATTTGGAGGAAGGTGTTTCTGTCGAGGTGCTACAGGAAAGATGAAAAACTATGCCTGCTTATGTGGGAGGTAAAGAAAAAATTGTCAGATAAAGTAAAGATAGAGCAGAAAACTTCAACCTTGAGTATTTGTAAGAAAATGAAAAAGAGATTGGGCATTATTTTTAAAATAACTTATATTGTATATTTCTTATTACAAAATGGACATATTTTGATGATAGAAACTTTAGAAAATGATAATTAGTAAAAAAAGAAAAATCAAGAAAAATAAAAAAATAATCAAAAAAGAAACCATCCATCACCTGAAATTCTACCTCCCAAAAAAAACATCAAGAAAAATAAAAAAATAATCAAAAAAGAAACCATCCATCACCTGAAATTCTACCTCCCAGAGATAACACTGATAATGCTTTGTAAATGTTATCTGATGTTTTCCAAAATGTTCACTTATCATAAACACCTGTCCAGGTAATGAAACATTCTTCTGTAAAATCATATTTATTTATTTATATTTATAGCTTTGCAGTCTTCTGTTTCATAATAAAAATTTAGAAACAATTCGACAGTACACGTTGCCCACTGCATATGTCTTTGCTGGATGCCCTTTGGCATGGTAGAGCAAGGACTCAGACTGGCCATGTATTTACTGAATTGTTGTACACATCATTTACTGGTTATCCACCACTGTTGATTGTCTTTCTTTGAAAATGCTATTTTTTTTCTGGGCTGACCCCGTGGTTCACTCGGGAGAGTGCGGCGCTGGGAGCGAAGCGGTGCTCCTGCCACAGGTTTGGATCATATATAGGGATGGCCGGTGTGCTCACTGGCTGAGCGCGGTGCAGGTGACACCAAGCCAAGGGTTATGATCCTCTTACTGGTCACAAAAAAGAAAAGAAAAAAAAAAAGAAAATGCTATTTTAATTTTCTTAACTGTGTGTGCATTCTATAACACTGATTTTGATAAATTCAGTGCAACATGAATTTATCAAATATGCAATAGTCATGTCAGCAGCTCCAACCTGCACTATACAATGAAACCTCTTTCAGGAAATATATTGAGCCTAATATGACCTGCTAGGTTAATTAAATCAGCCATGACAATATTGTTATAAGGACTCAACTAATTCTTGTTTTTTGCATGAAGAGTAAGTTATACTTAAAGAATATAACAAATTAATGGCTATATTTCAATTGTCCAATTGGATTTTTAAAAAAACGTTATTACTATACCAACTGATAAGAGTAACTATTTTATTGAGCACCTACTCCATAACACATTGAACATGCATTAATTTGTTTCTCACAATAGTACCTGAAGTGGTTACACTGTAATCCTATTTTGCAGAATAAACTAAGGCTAGGAGAGGGTAGGAATTAGTCCGAGGCTAAACAAAAAGTGGTATAGCTGGGATAGGAATAGGCTGTTTGCTTACAGCCTGCACTCACTCTTAGCCACTGTGGTTGGAGTGCCTAGATATGTGTTTTTTTTTCAGTTAATTCCAATAGTGTAACTTCAATACCATAGAACAGTATTTATATAACAGGATATTTCCATAAGGCAGTTGACAAGTGTAATACAGTCCACAGCGTGGAGCTGCAAACTACCCTACCAGAAATACGTTTGTTCATATTTTAAGGAATGAAATGACTTAAGGTAATTGAGAGTTTTGACTTTGAGAGAATATATTTTGTACTATATTATAGGGAATAATCCAGAAAGGCAGTTAAGTTACATCTAATCAAAAACTAGATGGAGTATACAGATGCCTCCTTGGTAAGTTCAAAGTTTAAGAAGATTCATAATATTTTTTTTTTTCCTTTTTTTGTCTTTTTTTGTGTCCGGCAACGGATCGCAACCCTCAGTGTCGTGCCCGTACCGGACCGGGACCGGCAACGGGATCGCAACCCTCGGCGTCGCGCCCGCACCTCGTTCAGCCAGTGAGCGGGAACCGGTCTGTATGTGGGATCCGAACCCTCAGCGGAAGCGCCGCCGCGCTCACAAGCGGCGCACTGTAGCAGTGCGCCACCGGGCCGGCCCAAGATTCATAATATTTTAATTTGAGATTTGTAACAGATGCATCCTTTCTCAAGATACCTGAATTTTTCTTATGAATGAAGAAATTGCCAGTCTGTTGGGAAAGCAGTGCGGGATAATAATTGGGAGCATGAGCTCTGGATCAGACTTCCTGGATCTATCACCCACCAGACATGCAGTCTTGGGCAAAATTGTTAACCTCACTAAACCTCAGCTTTCTCTTCTGTAAATGGAATCATAACAGTTCCACTCCAAAAAATTGTTTTCAGCATTAAATGAGAAATGCATATAAAGCACATAGCACAGTGCTTTGCACACATAGTGTTAAATAAAGTTTAGCTAATATGATTTGGTATTAATTATTATTGCATTTCACACTGTCTCTAAACATACGTGATCCCAGTCAATTTCTACTAGCTGAAGTACATCCCTCTGGCAGGTGTCTATTCAAAATTCATGCTGAATCTGATGGTCAATTAGATATAACTCTTTTCCCAATTTAACTCCTCTTCAACCTTAGAAATCCTTCACTGTATTCCATGGTGTTTCCCTCTTTAATAGCAAAGCTAACATGTATGCAAAAGTTTTGAAAATACGTTCTAGCCTGTGGTTTATATTCATGAATGGTTTTTATCCTTCAGGTCAGCTTCTGGAAGCCGCTGAGCATTATGAAGCATTCCATCAATTGACGCAGGGGCGGATTTGGAAGGATGAGGCAGGCCGCTTTCTCAACTTGTTGGCCTGTGAGAGTCTCCTGAGGACTTACAGATTACTCTCAGACAAAATGCTGGAAAATAAAGAATACAAACAGGCCATCAAAATTCTAATAAAAGCTTCTGAAATAGCTAAAGAAGGTGGGTGGAAAAGAACATTCTCACATTGCTTCTTTAATGGGCAGACACTGGTTCTCCCAGGAGTAAAGTAAAGATCATCAAGTGTTAGGGTGATTATTTCCTATGAAATGCAAAGACAAATGCCATCAATATACTTTCACTGTGCAATAGAGATGCCTTAGTGCTGACAACAAGAAATCCATTAGTTTCTTGAAAGCTTTATCACCAAAATTACAATCCACTCGAGATAGTGGTGTAAAACAGGGAACCCAGAATGAGAAGGTAAGGTTACCTGCAAAAGTTGAGGCGGTGTGTATGCTGTGTTTAAGGTTATATATTTCTTGCAATCTTAGAGACCTTTCACTGTTTGTAAATTCCCTGTTGTCAGGTAATGGGGAAATATGGTAAATATTTAGTTAGGAGTAACAGGAAAATAGGACTCTAATCTAGAGCCTTTGCTCGCAAAATATCTTTTGGAATGGCAGCATCAGCATCAGCATCACCAGAAAACAAGTTATAAAAGCAGCATGCCAGGCCCCACCACAGCCCTACTGTATCAGAATCTGCAGGTTAGCAAGATCCCCGGGTGATTCGTATGCACACATACGGCTTTTGTAAATGCTTTTTTTTTTTGGCCTTTGTAAAAACTCTATTGTGAGAGAAAATCATATCTTTAATATTCTGTATCATTTATGTATGTATAAAATATAAAGAAAAACTGTGGAGCATATTTTATAAGCTTTTAATTTGTAAAATGCGAGGATATTTTATTATCATATAATAATTTCTTAAAAGAGTAGCCTTTTCACGAAGGAGAAAAAGATGGAAGTTATGCTCTAGATCTAAAGTTTATTAGTTCATGGATATATTTAATTAATTGGCTTAAGTAACAGGTGGCTTATTTGGAATGAGCAGAACTGATTTTCTGGGTGTGATTTTAACTTACAAAGAGCAAAAGTAAACATCCTAGCTTATTCTCTCTGTTACATCTTTTAACAATATTAGTTATTAGGAAATCACCCCATTGAAAGATGGATCCCATTAAATGATCTGCTTTTGAATAAATGGTGATCTAGTACCTTCCCTAAAGGTATAAACGCTTGCATAAGTAGTTAGCTCTTAGATAATTTCAGCAGCAAACTTTAGCCACGTGGAAAGTTACATAGAATTTCAATGTGGAGGAATGCATCAATTAGAAAAAGGTATTTTACTTTAGGTTCACATTTGCTAAATTGTAAAATAGTTCACAAAGAAAGGAAGGGTTTTGGGTCTCTTTCAACAACCAGAGCCTGCGGAGCAGTCTCGCTTCATAAAACATCTCTTGCTTTCCAAAGGACAGATAAGGGAAATAGGAAAAAACTTACTTCATTATTATGCTGTAATAATTTTTAGTATCTTTTAAAACCAATAAATATTTGTCTGCACACTTTCCATGTAAGAAAGTTCAGAGGTCAAAGGATTACACAATATTTTACAGAGCTCTTACAGCAGCCAAAATACTTCGGGACAAAGCATCCACTCCCACTGTCTCCTACTTTGATCAAGGAGCCTGGAGCAGCAAGCTGATGATTGCTTTGATAAGGCATGCCTCCCACCTTGATTTACATAGTATTTAAGGGGTACTGAAACCCACCGTAGGCCAACTCCTTTGTTAGGGCACCTTGGTGTAATGCACAAGTGTAGTGCCAGCCGAACATCTTTCGCTTAGTATAATGCATTCAGGGTTCATCCATCTTGCAGCATGTATCATGACTTTATTCCTTTTTATGGCCAAATAATGTTCCTTTGTGTGGTTATATCACATTTTCTTTATCCATTTGTCAAATGAGGGACATTTGAGTTGGTTCCACCTTTTGCCTATAATAAATAATGCTGCAGTGAACATTTCTGTGCAAATTTTCAATGGTCTTGGATATATACCTGGAGTGCACTTGTTGGATTATATGATAACTCTATGCTTAACTTATTGAGGAACGCAAGTTTTCCAAATGGCTGCACTAATTGACATTTCCACCAGCAATGTATGAGGGTTTCAATTTAGCCACTTCCTTACCAGCACTTGTTACTTCTGTCTATTTGATTATAGTCACCCTGGTAAGTGCAAAATGGTAAAAAAAAATCTCACTGTGTGGATTTGATTTGCGCTTCCCTGCTGGCTAATGATGTTAAGCATTTTTTCATGTGCTTGCTGGCTGTTTATGTATCTTCTTTGCAGAAATGTCTATTTAGATTCTTTGCCCCTTTTTAATTAAGTTGTCATTTTCTTACTGTGTTTTAAGAATTCTATATATATTCTAGATACAAGTCTTCCATTAGATACATGATTCGAAAATATTTTCTCCCATTCTATGGGTTTTCTTTTCACTTTCTGATGGTATCCATTGAAGCACAAGTTTTTAATTTTGATGAAGGCCAATTTATCTATTTTTTTCTCTTTTTGTTATTTGTGCTTTTACTGTTGTGACTAAGAAGGCCTTGACTAGTCCAAGGTCACAATGATTTACTCCTACACTTGATTCTAAGAGTTTTACAGTTTTAGCTGTATTTAGATCCGTGATCTATTTTCAGGTGTGTGTGTGTGTGTGTGTGTGGTGTGTGAGGAGGATCCAACTTCGTATTTTGCATGTGGATATCTTGTCTTGGTAGCATTTGTTGAAAACATTACCCTTTCCCCAATAAATTGTTTGGATACCCTTCTCAAAATCAATTGACCTTAAACATAAAGATTGTTTTTTGGATTCTAAATTCTATTTCATTGATCTATATGTCTATTCTTATTGCAGAAATACATAATCTTTGTTACTCTGGTTTTATAGTTAAGTTTTGAAATTAGGAAAAGTCAGTCTTCCAACCCCGTTCTTTATCGAGATTGCTTTGACTATTCTCATCACTTGCATTTCCACATGAATTTTAGGATCAGCTTGTCAATTTCTTCAGAAAGGGCTGGTAGAATTTTGATAGGGATTGCATTGAATCTGTCAATCAATTTGGGAAATATTCCCATATTAACACTAGGTCTTCCAATTCATAAATATGGGGTATTTGCCCATTTATTTACATATTTTAAAATTTCTTTCATTAATGTTTTATCATTTTAATGTACACATCTTGCCTTATTTTGTTAAATTTACTCCTAATACTTTATTCTTTCTGATGTTATTGTAAATGGAATTGTTTCTTAATTTCATTTTCAAATTGTTAATTGCCTATATGTAGAAATAAAATTGACTTTTGTATATTGATCTTGTATCTTGAAACCTTGCTAAACTCATTTATTTGCTTTGATAGTTTCTGTGGACTCGTTAGGATTCTCTAAATACAAGATCATGTCATCTGCAAGTATAGTTCTGCTTCTTCCTTGCTAATCTGGATGTCTTTCCCTTTTCTTGCCTAATTTATTTGACTAGGACCTCCAGCATAACACAGTGTTGAATGGAAGTGGTGCTAGGGGACATCCTTGTCTTATTCCTGATCTTAGGGTGAAGGTTATCAATCTTTCACCATTAAGTGTAATGTTAGCTGTGGGTTTTTTGTAGATACCTTTTAATAGACTGAGAAAATTCCTTTCTATTCCAAGTTTTTTGAGGGTTTTTAGCATGAAAAGGGATTGGATTTTGCCAAATGCTTTTTCTGCATCTATTTAGATGATCATGTGTTTTTTGTCTTTCCTTCTATTAACATGATATATTACATTTGATTTCTAAGTACTTAGTATGGATATATTCAGATTTTCTTTATTCTTGAGTCAATTTCACTCATTTGTGCCTTTCTAAGAATTTGTTCATTTCATCCAGTTTATCTAACTTCTTGGTATACATTTGTCCATAACATTCCCTTATAATTATTTTTATTTCCATAAAGTTTAAGTTATTTCCTTTCTTTCATTCCTAATTTTGATAATTTGAGGCTCTCCTATTTTTATTCCTTAGTCAGTCTAGCTAAAGGTTTGTTAATTTTATTGACCTTGTGAATGAATCAATTTTTGTTTTGTCAGTTTTCTCTAGTGCTTTTCTATTCTGTTTCATTTTTTTTCACTCTAGTCTTCATTATTTTCTTCCTTCTATTTGCTCTGGGTTAGTTGGATTCTCTTTTTCTAGTTTTGTAAGGTGAAAAGATCTTTCTCATTTTAAAATATATAGTTTATAGCTATAAATGTCCCTCTATGCACTGCTTTAGCTGCATCCTGTAAGTTTTGGATTGTTCTATTTCCATTTTCATTCGTTTCAAAGTATTTTCTACTTTCACAAAGTAATCATTTTACCTTGTGATTTCTTCTTTGATCCATTGGTTATTTAGGAGTATGTTGAGTTTCCACAGTTATGAGTTTCCTAAAATTCTTTCTGTTATGTATTTCTAATTTCAATTTATTGTGAATACCATCTTCTCAATGGAGTCTACCTTGAAAACCGTATTTAATATTGAAAACTTCTTTGTCCTCTGTAGCCCCACTTAGCACTTCCAACGCCCCTTATCCTGCTCTGTCTTTCCGCCAGAGTACCTATCACCATACAACTTACCACATAATTTATTATATTTATTGTTGTTGGGTTTTTTAAAAACTCTTTATGTTTTTATCCTACACAATACAAGTTTTGGTACATGTGTCACTAAATTTTAATAGTGCCAAGATTTCAGATTTAACCTTTTTTTTTTTTGTTTGTTAATCCTACTCTTTTTGATATTTACCTCTGTCATTTACTGTTTTCACTTCATCTTAGCTTTGTCTCACTTAATAAACAGGGAAAGTTCTCACGTTTAGATACTATTTTAAAACTAACATTGGATGTATTATTACTGCTTCAACTAACTGCCTCAAAATCTGTCTTTCTATCAGCCAGGAGTAGATTTTTCTTTCTTCCTCTTTGCTAAGCTACCCCTCCCATAAATTAGATGAAAATGGTGATACTATATCAGCCCAGGCAGTTGCCAGAGCATTAACACAGTTACATCATTTAACACAGCAAGTACAAACCACACTCAATTAACTTTTAATTATCCAAGAGGTAACTTCCTGTCACAACCTCTTCCTTCTATTGCATCTTTCTCTTCCCTAGTCCTACCCCTATGCCCATCACCCCTAAACCAGCAGCAGAACAAAAGTAGTGCCCAGGTGAATTATAAGAGTTAAAATTCCCCAGATTGGGTCACAGTCACTGGCATCAATAACTATGCTAAAGTGAGATCTTGAGGGTATAATTTTCTGCAATCTGTGAAGAGCTGAAGAAGAAATAAAAAGTAATGTCACAGCCATTTGCCATCCTGTTTTCTTAAAGTCTTCCAATGAGCCACTGCTTCATGAGTGGTAATTCAGTGGGTGGTGAGAGTGAATGCAGCGTGGAGAATTGCTGCCTTCTACTGAAGTCTTTCATAGGTGGAATGCAGGGCTTAGAAATCTAAGGATACTAACTTTCCAAAGACCAGAAACACAGGTAGATCTGTCAGCACTTGCATTACCCAGAAGTTAGGTAACATTGGATAAAATGAATAGAATATCACAGAAATTAGAAAGGCTAAATTCCATGCAAAAAGATGATGAAAGCATTACCAGTGATTAGCAAAGAAAGTGTGTTTTGATTTCAAAATATGCATGGAATTTTGTACTAAGAAGCCTAGCTTCATTAGCCATTCTCACCCAAGTTTTAGTCAATAGCTTTTAAATTGAGAATAATCAAAACAATAATTCCTTAATTTGTTAATTATCTGCCCTGTTAGAAACTTAGCTGAATGTCAGTCCATGTGAGTCAGTATGAGTGTTTGTGCACCAATTAAGTTGCACGGTTGTTTTCCAGTTTACCAGTTGTTTCACTTATGTAGTAGCAGTTATGCTAGACGATTGTAGGTCTTTACATGGCTGACTAGTATAAAAATTACATATGAATGTCAAAATGATGATACCAGGTTGTGTATATAGAGGGAAACACCTCATAATTACATTGTTAATGCACCTTACTCTAACATCTGTGATTCAGGTAAATTGTACTTACCTTAGCTTTTTTTTCATTGCATAGCTAGGTTTAGGGATTACTGATAAATCTATGTATCTTTTCTTTTTTTCGTAGTAACTTTCTGCTGTCTTAAAAAGCAAGGATTCTGTTTGCTGTGATAAATCAATTTCTTTAATGCCATGGTAATTTTTTTACTTCTTTACTCTAGGAAATGACAAAAAAATGGAAGGAGAAGCTTCCTATTATTTGGGCTTAGCACAGTTGGCTGCTGGAGAATATGAAACAGCATTAACAGTAAGTTAAAGGAAACTTTTAATCATTGCCACTTTCGATTTTTATTTTATTGTATTTATTTTATTGTTTTGTGTATTAGCATAAAGCCAATACAAATGAATTGGGCCGGAAGTATCCCTATTTACAGAGACCAAAGCAGAATAATGATATGCTTGAAGCATTAAAAAATTGCTTTTATTGTTTAGAGAAGGCAATATACAGTCAACTACCATGAAGTGCTTTAGAATATATGAAAGTTAAGGGGCTGGCCCGTGGCTCACTTGGGAGAGTGTGGTGCTGATAACACCAAGGCCACAAGTTCGGATCCCTATATAGGGATGGCCGGTTAACTCACTTGGAGAGGGAGGTGCTGACAACACCAAGTCAAGGGTTAGGATCCCCTTACCAGTCATCCTTAAAAAAAAAAAAAAGAATATATGAAAGTTAAATATATAGAGTAATATGGCTCTCTATGCTTCCATATCACAAAGGACAAAAGGAAATAGGTTTAAATGAGAGCAAAAAGTAAATAGTAAAAAAATAATAATAATAAAGTGACTATAATTTAATCAGGGAAATTTTGCTGAGGAAATAATGTGGTTATTAAGCAGCAGAGTGAGCTGCGTTGAGTTAGCTCTTTAGTGTGTGTGTGTAGAGGTGGGT